TATGAGTTCAAGGCCAGCCTGGTCTACAAAGTGAGTTCCAGGCCAGCTGGGACTACAGGGAGACCCTGTTTCAAAAAGAGAAAAACAAACAAACAAAAATATTCATAGATGCTTTGTTCCTGTTAGCCCAAATCTAGAAACAATTCAAAGGTCTAACAACAGGAGAGTGGATAAATTATTTTCTTCACATCTGATGAGATACTACCCCTATACCTCACAGAAGTATTCTGGGAAGAAACAAGAAACAAAAGGCCATTTTTGTTCTGTGTGATTTCAAAAACAGGCATAAATGTATGGTGATAGTCATCAAAATAGTGATTACCTTTTAGGGGCAGCATTGATAGAGAAGGGGGCATAGTGGAACTTTCTGGGATGATGAAAAAGTTCTATATCTTGACCTGAATGATGGATACATAGATGCACACATGTAAAATTTCATGGAGACATACACTTAAGATTTTTGCATTTTACCTGTAAAATGTACATGTGAATTATATGCCAATTAATAGAAAATCAGAATGCTTTTTTTTCCGAGCAATCAACCAGCTTAATATACAAACATGAAAGTGATTTAATGAAAGAAACAAAAATGTAATTCAGTGTATAAACACAACAAAACACAGTTTTCACAATAGATGTAGAAAAAAATTTTTTTTATCATTTGACACCATTCATGATCAAAACTGTTAGTGAACTAAGTATGGAAAGTTAAATAGGGCTGGGGAGATGGTTTAGTTGATACAGAGCCTGCCTTGCAAGCACGAGGGCGTGTTTGGACCTCTAGCACCTATGTAAAAGCCTGATTTCGTGACATGCATTTGTAAGCCCACCATGGGGTGGGGGTGAGGGTTGGGTGGGGGCAGAGACAGGAGGGTTCCCTAGGGCTGTGTCAGGGGAGGGGAGCCAGTTTAGCTCATCAGTGAGCTCTGAATTCTGTGAGAGACTCAAAAAACAGGTGAAGAGCAATAAAGGAAGACACCTGACATTGACCTCTGTTCTCCAACACACACTCATGCATGTGCACCACACACATACAATCACACACATACACTATGCACACTTAAAAAAATTAAAGATCCAGTTAAAGCTGACTAAAAACAGCAATTTCACATCCACTGTCTGAGAATCCTTGCTAGCACAGTAGGACGAGGACCACACAGGAAAGTCCAATTCGGACTGACGTGGCTTCGTTTGCAGAGCTTCAGAGCTCTCAGGTGTTACACATATTTTACAAGTATGCAATATCACACATCAATTTAAAGATTGGAATGATTTAGGCCGAATGAAAAAGCCAGATTAAAAAGTGTCTATCAAATGATTCTACTTACATAAAAATCCTAGTAGATCAATACTGATGGTTGTTTGTGGAATGAAGCAGGAGAATATGAGGAAGCTATGGGGGAGCAATTATGTTTTTTTAAGTTTATCTTTTTAAATTAAAAAGTATTTTTATTTTATGGGTATGACTGTTTTGTCTGCATGTATGTATATGCACCACATGCGTGCAACACCCACAGAGGCCAGAAGAGATCACTGAATCCCCTGGAACTGGAGTTATGGATGGTTGTTAGCGGCCTTGTGGATGCTAAGAACTGAACCCAGGTTCTCTGCAAGAACAGCCAGTGCTCTTAACTGTAAGCCACCTTTCCAGCCCCAGTTTGGTTATCGTGATGGTTTCACAGATGTATACTTACCAAATTGTACACTTTAAATATGTTAATCACATTCAATCAAGGTTTTTAAAAAAAGAATTGGGTTTGTTTCCTTGTGAGGAGGAAAAGCACTATTTCACTCTCACTGCTTCACGTCTAGATATACTTCATCACCGAGTTGCACATACAGTCTCTACAAGAAACTGGACAATGCAATAGGTGGCAAACAATTCAGTTATTGGGAAATTTCAAGTTAACATCAAATGCTTTGAAAAAAAAAACCTACCAGTTTTATGTTTCTTTAAAGAATTTTGGGCCAGAGAGATGGTTAGGTGAGTAAAGGTGCTTGCTGCACAAGCACAACCTGAGTTTGATCCTTGAAACCCACATAAAGGTAAAAGAACCGACTCTACAAACTCATCCTCTGGCCTCCACATGTGTGCTATGGCACATAACATTTCTCCCCTCCCCCATCATATATATAAAATAATAAAGTTTTAAAAAATAATTTTTCTTCCTGGAGAATAAGGGCTAACATTAAAGTGCACATGTACCTTTTACTGTTTTTAGAAATGTGTTGATATGGAATACAAAGCACTGGATCTATTCTTTTAAAAAACAAGATTCCATGAGTGAGAATCTGTGTAATACTGTCACATTGATTGATCTGTCAATGGTCAATTATGAATGGTTTTTGAGACAATGAAATTTGAGTTCTGATTAACTAGCCAATGGGCCTTTATATTGGGGCAACAGAAGATTTTAATTATTTTTGCATCTCAAAACAAAGTCCCGAAAATAATTTAAATACAAAGGATGATATGTGTAAGGCTACTTTTGTTTGTTTTGCTTTTTGAGACAGTCTCACTGTGCAGCCCTGGCTGGCCTGGAACTCACTAGGCAGACCAAGCTGGCCTCAAACTCACAGAGATTTGCCTGCCTCTGTGTCCCTAGTCATATATAAAGCTATTTTTAAGTCTTCTGTTTCCCAGTTAGGACTCAATAAAATCTGTAATAAGGTAAAAAATAAAATAAATAACTGTTTCGAACTGCATGCTTATATGACAACCTAAAATAATTTCATTTTTAACATAAAATTTAAATGTAAGATTAACTTATTTTGAGAAATTTTAAAGGGATGCAAGAAAATTAAAACAACAAAAGGGTTGGGGCATTGAATGTTACAGAGCACAATGGAGTCAAAATTAGGAAAGAGGACAGATGCAGAGGACACTGAGTATATTAACAGTTTCAAAGTTGCTTATAGAGTGGAGTTCCAGAATTGGGAATTCTCAAGTTCAGAATTAAAGAAACAAGTAGAAAATCCTTGGGAAGGTTCAGTAGGAAAGGTGACAAAGGATTCTTGGAGAGCAGGATGGCCAGCAATAGAGAAGGCCCAGTGAAGCTGGGAAGGCATACAGCTTTTTCCCATATCAATTCACATGTACTTTTGCCCAGTGACATTGGAGACCCAGAAACACAAACAGTTCTGGGTAAATAAAGCGGTTTTGAGAAGAAAATGCTAAAAGTGACAAGGGACAAACTGTATGCAAACTGGGCAAACTGTATGCAGCAGAAAAATGTTGTTCACAAAGATGGTTTTTTTTTTGGCCTTTTTGAGACAGGGTCTCCCTGTAGCCCCAGCTGTCCTGGAACTCACTATGTAGACCAGGCTGGCCTTGAAGTCACAGAGATCTGCCTGCCTCTGCCTCCCGAGTGCTGGGATTAAAGGCATGCGCCACCATGCCCGGCAAAGATATTTTTTTTTAGAAAACATTTTATTATTTTTATTTTATGTGTATGAGTATATTTTCTGTGTATATGTAAGTGTATCCATGTTGTGCAATGCCTGCAGAGGTCAGAAGAGGGTATCAGATCCTTTGGAATTGGAGTTATAGACAGTTGTTAGTCACCATGTGGGTGTTGGGAATGGAACCTGGGTCCTCTGCTAGAGTAGTCAGTACTCTTAACCACTATCTCTCCAGCCCCACAAAGATGGGTTTTTGATGATGAAAAGGAAAAAAAAAATCTATAAGGGAAATGATTAAAAACTCTTATCCCTGTAAAAATAAACCAAGAAAGCCTTTTCATTTTTGTCCCTTCAAAGATATTTTTTTTTAGAAAACATTTTATTATTTTTATTTTATGTGTATGAGTATATTTTCTGTGTATATGTAAGTGTATCCATGTTGTGCAATGCCTGCAGAGGTCAGAAGAGGGTATCAGATCCTTTGGAATTGGAGTTATAGACAGTTGTTAGTCACCATGTGGGTGTTGGGAATGGAACCTGGGTCCTCTGCTAGAGTAGTCAGTACTCTTAACCACTATCTCTCCAGCCCCACAAAGATGGGTTTTTGATGATGAAAAGGAAAAAAAAAATCTATAAGGGAAATGATTAAAAACTCTTATCCCTGTAAAAATAAACCAAGAAAGCCTTTTCATTTTTGTCCCTTTCTAATTTTCATTATATGAAAGGAAGTCAGACTTACTTGTCTTGGGCACTGTATGGGGCACCTTTGCAGTCTCTTTTGGCTCCTCCAAAGAGTGTTATTAACTCACTGACTCTCACCATTTGGTAACCAAGATCAACATTTTTTTTGATCTGCTTTTCTGTTTCCTTTTGGGTGAGATGTCCTTTTTCAAAGTTATATTAACAAGAAGGGAAAATCAGTGCAAGAATTCTGTCCAGCTGTCCAACCATTCGAATTCTAATCTAATGGATCTTTATGTTCTAACTTTTCTGCCCTTCCCTCCCCATACTTCAAAGCTAAGATCCTATGCCTCTGTTGTACCCTGTGTGCAGTACAGCACAGCTTCTCTACCACTCCTGTCCTGCACCAACCTTGAATGTCTTCTCCATCAGCTCCTTTTGTTTTCCTTAAACTACTAAGAAGCTGCAGTGTTTGCTTTGTTCCTACTGCATGCCTTATCAAGTAAATAATGGGATTCTAACTGCACTTCTTGTTTAGTTCTAACAACTTACTGAATGTCTGCTATGCGCCAAAAATACATAAGGTGTCTTTCTACCTCCAGAGGTAGATGAATACTGAATATACACACGACCATAAGCAACTGGGAGGGATAGGTTAAGAATTAGCCAGACCCAAAAATCCCATATAAAATACTGACAATTTCAGCTCAGACCTTGATTTGTTCGAGTCCTAAAGACTTACTGACAACAGAGGATCCCTTGGGGAATCTTTTTCAGTTCTTGTGGAAACAAGTATCAGACTATATCTGGTGATTTCTAAACAGCTTGCGCCAAAAGCCCAAGATAGAAGAGGGCATAGAGACAACTTCCTGAACCCTTAAGATCATGGTTTGGAAGACCCACTCCTCACACAGGAATGTCACTCTGTCCTTCCGTGCCTTTATTGATAATAGCAATGGGCAAGAACACCCTGGTCCAGCAGCTGGGGTATCAGGCAGGCCCTCAGGCCATTGGCACATCTAGCCCCAATCTAAGATCTAGTCTACCCAGGCCATGTCCCTGAATGGGCATGTCTCCGTCTGTCCAGTTTGTATGTGTGGATCAATCTCTCTGAGTGTCTGAGCCGCTGTCTACATGCTCCCCCCATCCTTGGCACATGGTAGGGGTTGTTAGGAATACAACGTGGCATGCCCCGATGGACCACTGGGCCCCGGTGCTGACCATGGGAAACAGGGCCAGGTACTGATGGTGGCAGGGGGCCAGGCACAAAGTTCACTCCAGGACCACATCCTACAAAAGAACCAGTCGTTATCAGAATAATCGGGCAGCTCTGCTCTTCCAGGGTGAGTTTCCCGGGGTTTTCATTCCCACCTGCAAAATGGGGGTTCTACTTCCCCCTACCTCCAAACCAGTAACTGTGACAATGGGTGAGCAGACTAACAAGGCTACAAATGCTATTCCAAACCAAGGGACTGCTGTGACCAAACCCAAAAGACTGTACCCAACTCTTCTCAGCTCGTGTGAGCACAGGTAGCTGGGCTGGAAGACATGCAAAGGGAGGCTGGGAAAGTTGTGAGCAGCAGTTACAGAGGTACCTACCTAAGTTGGGTGGCATTGAGGAGTCTTCCACTGCACTGTATTTGAAGAATTCATAGGGTTGAAAGGGCTGGCCTTGGTAAAAGGGGGCATCCTGGGGCATAGGTGGGAACAAGGGAGGTGGTGAGGGCTGAAGAAGTGGGTAAGGAAAAGACATGGGAGGGGACAAAAGGGAGGGTGGGGGTGGGGGCAAGGCCAGCTGCTCCCCAAAGTCTGGGGGCTGCCTATGGCTTCCCTGGAATGGATGATCCGTCTCAGGCCAGTCCTCAATCCACGGGTCTAGGAATGGGATGACAGTTTTAGGTAGGCCTAGGAAGCCAAGCTGCCAAATGCTAGCTACCCATACTTCTAGAACTCTATCCTCTTGGGGAATAGGGCCAGAAGCTAGAACAGCCTGTGACGTCTACCAGTCTTCCTCATTCTTTTCCTCAGGCCAAGCCCAAAGGTTTTTTTTTTTTTTTTTTTTTTTTTTGCCACTCACATCTGCCTGTTTTCTGACCTCATGTTCCCCCCCTTTTGAGCCTGTTTCCTTTGTTTGCCCAGTTCCTGAACCTTTTAGCTTTTGCCTCCCCACAAGTCCTCCCCAAAGTCAAATAGAAAGATCCAGCTCTCCCTCCTCCCATTCGTCTTTTCCTTAGAAACTGTCACAAGGAATATTTTGCCACATTTTCATCCTTCATCAACTGTTTACTGCCTCTTTTGACCCCACTTCATGACTTTAGTGCTTTCCTACAAACTTAACAAAGTCTTTACTTTCCAGCAGTCACATGACATCACCAATCGAGCCTGTCTTCCCTGAAAGCACCTCTCTATTCTCAAGTCCTTTTGTTTCCCCATCAACCTCTTTCCTGCCAATTCAAAAAGTGAGCATTGCTCAGCTGTCTCCAGGGTTTATACTCATGCCCTTCATTTTCCATCTCTGCAGGGGACTGCTGACTCCAAGTGTCTGTTTCCACAGTACCGCAAACAGATCTGCTGAATCAAACTCACATACTCATCTTCAACATGCCTGGTTGTATGCAGTGCTGGACACTGAACCCAAAGCTTCATGTGTGTTACCAACTTCCTACTAACTGAACTATATCTCCAGCTGTTTCCATAAGTTAGTCGGTTTCTTTTTAAGACAGGTTCTTACTCTGTAGCCCTAGCTGGCCTACAACTCACTATACACACCAGGCTAGCCCCAAATTCATAGATTTGTCTGTCTCTGTCTATGCCTTCGCCTCCTGAGTACTGGGATTACAGGCATGTGTCATCATTCCTGGCTCCATAGTTTTTCATTGGATTCAGAAGCCATGAGCCACCACAAACTAGCCTCACAACTTTTAAAATGTTCCTTTTTTAAACTGGGGACCAATTCTCTCATTAAAAACAGACCAGAGGGGCTGGAGTGACGGCTCAGCAGTTGGTTAAAAGCACTAGCTGCTCTTGCAGAGGACCTAAATTCAGTTCCCAGCACCCACATGGTAGCTAACAACCATCTGTAATTCCAGTTCCAGGGGATCCAATGCCCTCGCATTGCATGACATGGGTGCACTTGCATACATGCAGGCAATACATTCATACACATAAAATAAAAATAATAAATAAAATCTTAAAAAACCCAGAACAGAACAAAACAAACAAGGGACTGGAACCAGTACATAATCCAAATCCTAATCCATCTTCCTGATGTTCCACTTCCTAACTACCAAGTCCTGGCAGTTTGTCTCTATGATATCCTGGCCTCTCTGTGTTCTCTAAACCTTCTACTATTGCAGCAGTGACGAGCATGACTAATGCTTCCAATTCAACAAACACTACACTCTTAGCACTATGTACAGAACAATTGCGTTGGCAATGGGCTGAAGGGGATGAATAATCAATAAGTGAGGCAGGATACTTGCCCTTTTGGTACATGATGCAGATGTGGAAATAAGCCATGATGCTCCCTTTGTGGGCAGGCAGGGATTGAGAAATTAACAAGGAAACAAATGATCCATATCAGAGAACATCTCAGCTGGGATGCAATGAGTGGAACTCTCAGATCCTACAGCAGTGACTAGGATGATGCCAGTGGAGAACTGCACTAAGCTGGGACCAGAGATACTGGGACCCTGAGGCAGAGTTGAGGTGCTCATGAGACGTTGTCTACTAAGCTTGTTACTATGAGACTAACATGCAAAGGCACTATAGGTTACATTATGTCTCTGTTCATTAACCTGCCAGCTGACTGTGCATCTCTGCCAGCTGACTGTGCATCTCACCCTTTCGGCTGATGAGCTTTCTTGCCTCTACCTGGACTACTCTTCCTCCATTTCTGTCTCCCACCACCCGTACTTGGAACTACCTAGAAGTATTCTCATTTCTCTCCTGTTTATCTACTGAGTGAGGTCTTTTGACACTCTCTCTGCCTTATGTGATCAATGCTTGCATACAGTCATTCAAGTACACAGAACAGACTGTACAGCTAGATTAAAGAACTAGAACTTGTACTAAAATGTTGCTCCTGTGATCTAACCATTCCCAAGATATCAAATAGCACTGAGGAGCCACAGAAGTTCTTCATGGGACTGCTATTCTCAGTATCTGATCCATTCAGTTTCTGATTCTTGTGCTCTGAGATCCCTATCTGCATCACTACCCACCCCTCTGTGGCAGGGCTTACCAGGGGGATGATTATGTTTGGGCAGCTCCACGCCCCAGGCATCGGCCACATGGGTCAGAAGCAGGTGTGAGAGGTGGCGATGTGCATGCTGGTCCCAATGGACACCATCTCGATGACGGTGGCGTACAGCATGCCGAAAATGAAAGTGGAGATCTAGGACGTCGAAACAGTGGTCCCCAGCTAGTGTAGCACTGTAGAAGTTCCCCTCAACCACATCCTGACGCAGAGAGACTGCCAGGGGCTGGAGCTATTTGAGAAAGTGGATCCTCTAAGAGGGTCCCCTATCTACCAGCCTGCCACCCTATTCCCTGTCCAAAGGGGCCTGAGTCACTTACCTCAGGCAGGAGGAAACCCCCAGTGACACGCTCCCCGAGAGGCATTGCCATGTTCCACACCAGCAGACAGGAGTCTGGCAAAACCTGGTCCATGCGCACAAACACTCGTTCCAGGTTCTCCCGATACCTCTCCATTGAACAGCGGCCATACCTGCTGGGTAACATCATAGGTGGGCAAGAGCCCAAGAGTGGAGCCATACCTCCACCTCCAACCAGCATTTCCCTTTTCCCTTGCCCGAACCTGGAGAGATCCCAGAGGCAGGAGTTGATGATGACTAGGTCAGGAGCAGGTCCATACTTCAGCTCCTCCAGGACATCCTCAAGGTACTCCGAGTAAACACGGGTGAGGAAGTAGAAGCGCACAAGATGGTGGCCAGAACCCGAGCAGAACTGACGGACCTCACGGTACTGTGTCCCGTTGTGCAGCTCGCCCAGCTGGCCCCCAGCCACCAGCTGATCCTGTTCAAAGCTCAGCTCCCCCTGCCCACCCACCCCCACCCCGCTGGTCAGATCCATGCCAGGCAGGTGATCCTTCACAGGCCAGGGTCTGCACCCACCCAACACTGGCATGGCTGCCAAGCTTCTCTCACCTTAGCTTTCAATTGGGCAGCTGTGAGAAGTGTGTCTTTCTGGAGCAGAAGCACCAGGTCCTTATATACAGCTCTCTGGACTGCAGGGAGACAGGGTTCCTAAGGCTGGGGCAGACTTGACCTTCCCCCACATTCTCCCAAGTCAAGGCCTTCCTCTACCTAGGTTTGGCAGGCTGCCCAACAGTAATGTATAGAATGCTGACTTACAAGAGAAAAGATGAGGTTTAAAAGCCCTGGCACTGCCTATGTTTCTGATAGCTACGTCCCTTGCCTCTAATTTATACATAATGACCCACAACTGAAAGAATTAACTTGGCCAAGTCACCCAGGAAACACAGAACACAACCGCTCCTTATGGGAGAATTATGGAGAACTGTGAGATATAAGATGTCAAACAAGCACCGGCATCAAAGCGCACAAATGATATGTCAGGACACCTGTGAAGGCTATGTACGGAAGAGGAAAAAAAAGCAGTCTAGTGGACTAAAACCGAGTAGGCAACTAAGTATGAAATGAAGACTTCGGATGTAGACACAAAGAAGAAGCTGCAGATGTGGGGCTATGAAGTGTCTTCCTAGAGGGGTCACTCACTGGAGTCCCCCAAGATGACCACGAACTTGTTGTGTAGCAGCTGCTGGACTTCTGAGGCCTGGAAGTGGACCATAGCGCTTCGCAGCAGGCGGTGCGGCACCTCGTTTTCCAGACAGAAGACCATGCTGCCACTGACACGGACTGCAGGGAGAGGCCACTAAGCCAATAGACACGGCAAGGACTCAAAGTAGGTAGGTCCTGGGGCCACCCCTGAATAACAGATGTGCCCTGACCTCTCAGAGTTATAGTGAGAAGAGTGGGGATGCATGACGGAATCCATGGCACCGCCAGCCTTGGTTCATTCGGGACGGGAGGTAGAGTGACCCGGCCCATAGGCCTACACCCTAGCGCTTCGCACCCCACGACTCCCTTGCGCCCTGCCAAGCGTCAGCCGCTGCCCCGCGCATGCGCACGCTCTCCCGCACCAATTACCGAGTCTTGATGCTCCAGGGATTCACCGGCCAGCAGGGCAGGCCTGTACACCCAGCGCCTGGCCCGCAGTAGGCTCCTGATCTAACGTCATGTTCCCGCGCCCCTGGACGACAGTCGGTTCTGCAAAGACCCCTCCCCGCAGAGCCCGTGTGCCCTGGTTAGCCGTTGGTGCGCAGCTCGATGCCCAGCGCTCTCCATGCGTGCGTCGAGGTGGCCAGGCCGACCCTTCCAGCATAGGCGCTCCGGGCGGAGACGCTCATGGCTCGCACTTCCGGTCACCCATGTCCCTCCCTGGGCGATCCCCAAAGCCTGAGGGGACAGAAAGGCAGCGAAGCTGACCGCCGCGGGGGGCAATAATTAGGACGAGGCCCACCCGGGTGGGTGCGAAGCCCAATACAGGCCAGGGGCAGAACGACGACCCAATGCACTTTGCCCACAGTGGTGATGGCCGCAATGGCGGCCTCGGCACGTGACCCAGACAGGCGGAAGCGGAAGTGCGGGCCTGGAGCTTGCGCTAGGTGGGTGTCTCAGCGCTATCTAGCCGCCGCTAGCAGCAGACATGGATTGCTACACTGCGAACTGGAATCCGCTCGGGGATTCTGCCTTTTACCGGTGAGCCGCCCCACCGTCCCACCCTCCCGCCCACTGCCCAGCTTACGGTGCAGACTGCTGGCTCGAGTCTCCAAAAGGAACGGGCGGCGTTCGCCTCCGTCACTATAGGTGCTGGTGTCCGCCCGGGGGCGACTCTTTCCGAGCGTCTGCCACTTTACGCCTTTGGGCAGCAAGCTGGTCCTTCCCCTGCTGTAGAGAAGGAAACTGAGTCAAGCGCAGAAGCTCTCCCCAAACCTAGGTCTGTCAGCCTCCGGAAGGATGCTCAGATTACGTTGAGGGAGGCCGCCGGCTGCGACAGCTAGTCTCCAGCCGGAAACTGCTGCTGAAGTCAGACCACCCGGGCTCTCGGAGGGGGGCGGGGTCGCCCCAGCTGGCTGGGTGACTACTGCCCAAAGCTGAGAGAAAGGGGTGAATTGCCATTCAGTCTTAGAGCACCAAAATGAGGACCTCCAAGTTCAGGGCGACTCTTTCTTGGGAGCTGAAGGACCTTGAACTGTGAATCTTTTTCTAGTCTGAACCAGTAACCATGACTACCCAGATTCACATTTCGTTCTGGCTTCTCTTACTTACAGGTCAACCCCTATTTGTCTTTCCCTGAGCAGGTTCCAGTTCAATTCCAACCACTCTCCTTAAATCTTGTGTTCCTGGTGCCTACAGGACCCCATCACACTATGAAATTTCATGGCTTTTCTGTGTTTGCATAGTCCCTTCTGTGGGCATTGCTCTTTCTCCCCTTTATCAGTGAAGAATTGTTGCTCAGCCTTCAGGACTTCCCTGTTCTTCCTACACTTGAATCTTTGGGCTTTACAGAGTCCAGTCAGAGTCTGTTATGTGGCACACGAGGGCAATATTTGTATAAGTTTCTTTTGCCAAGCTCCTTGAGGGCTAAGAATATTTATCTCCCATACTTTAGAATAGTGCCTGCTACCTAATAGTTGCCCAATAAAAACTGTAAAGAATGTTGTATTGAGGCAGGAGAGATTACTGAGTAGTTAAGACCACTGGCTGTTCTTGCAGAGGATTGGGGTTCAGTTCCCAGCACCCACATGGTGGCTAAAAACTGTCAGTAACTCCAGTTCCAGGGGATCTGATGCCCGCATCTGACTCCATGGGCATTGCAGGACACAGGTGCATCTACATAATTGCAGGTGATACACTCATACATATAAAATAAAATAATAAATAAAATATTAAAGAATGTTATATTGATTGTACCTAAAGATCACAAAGACATCGCATCTTAGTTCAATAGTTGACATTGTTTCTGCTAGTGAAACTATATACCATTCTGTCCTGAGGAATGATTCAGAGAATCATTCCCCATAAGTTAATGCTACTCGGGAGAGCTGGGGCAGGTGCAATGGACAGAAGAGATTCCACACGTGTATTGTGTTGCAATCAACAATTTATATTGAATGAACAATTCAAGCAATACAGAGTTGCAAACAACAAACAACACACTTTAGGTGGAGAGTCAGAGTAGGTCTGGACCAATGGGCCTAGTGCACCAGGTGTCACCAGGTTACCGAAGCTTCCAGAGATCCCTGCTCTCGGGGAGTACCTCCGGGCCTGGGCCCAATGTCCAAGTCCAAAGTCCTCCGTGGAAAAGCTCAGCTGCTCAGCCGTGATCCAGTGCACTCTCCCGGCCCTGGTTGACGCTGTTCAGGTTGGGGTCCTGGCGCTGCTTGGTCAGGATCACGTTCTGTTGTGGCTCAGCGTCTCAGGATCGATAGATGATTGGCAAGAGAGTCGGGTGTCCGCGAGACGTGGGGGTCTCTGTGAGCATCAGGGAGCAGGCTTGTCCTTTGTCCTTTTATGTGGTTTCTGCTGGTCTAGTTTCAGAGTACTGACATAAGTGCCAGGTTCTGGTCCTAGTCGATTAGTTCAGCCCATATCCCTCTATGCAGGATAAGTCCTTATCACACAGTTGCATACATCTCACACTTTGGTTCCTATGGCTGGGTTGCCATGGTTACCAGATATGCGTTTGACTTGTCCATGATATGTCACTTTAAACAGAGTTCAGCAAGGTTTTCAGGGTTTCAAAGTAACAGGTATTCACTCAATTATAATTCAAGAAAAAAAATGAGATTTTCTCCTAATTCTATAACATTCACTACACATTCTCAGATCCAAACTTTAAAAAATATATTATTTTATGTGTGTGTGTCTGTGTGTGTGTGTGTGTGTGTGTGTGTGTGATGTCACACCCATAATCCCAGCACTTGGGATGTGGAGGTAGGAAAATCAGGAGTTCAAGACCAATCTTGGCTACATTAAAAGTTGGAGGCTGGATTGGACTAGATAAGACCCTGTCTCAAAAAATAGTTACTCCTCTTACAGAGGAGTCCTAGCAGCCACATAGCGGCTATCAACTGGCCTTAATGCCAATTCCAGGAAATCCTATGCCCTCTTCTGACTGCCATGGTATTGCATGACTTGGGTGCGCTCACATACATGCAGGCAATACAGTCATATACATGAAATAAAAATAAGTAAACTATTTTTTAAAAATTAGTAGAATAACTAAAATATTAATAACCATTATTTTTTAAAATTTTTGGATTTATTTATATTTATGAGTATTTTGCCTGCACATGTGTAAGGACACCACATTCGTGCAATGCTTTACAGAGGCCAGAAGCAGGAGTTACAGTTGTTAGTCACCATGTAGGTGCTGGGATCTGAACCTGGATCCTCCGCAAGAGCAGCCAGTGCTCTTAATCACTTTTCGGAATATCTGTTGCCTGCCCAGGCTTGTAAAATTAGAGAACAGAAGGCAATGACCTCATCATCACTGAGCTCTTTAGAAAGTTTCAAAAGATGTTTATTGAGTGTGTGTCGTAGACCCAGACTTCAGTGCCTAACTTCCCTCTACCTGTGTTGTACCCTAGTAATGATTAGGAGTATAAGCTTTGTTGTGGATAGCTAAGTTCTAAGTTGCTAACAAATATTGAGACTCTCTAATGTGCTAGACACTATGCTAATTATGTTGCATTTACTTGCTTAAGCATCACAAGCACATGTAGTAGGCATCATGATAAACAGAAGACATTTCAGTTTGAGTCTGTTCTGCAGGACAGGATTCTTTTACGTTGAAAGTAGTGTTCTCAAGAACTTGCTGAATTTAAGAAGGTAAAGAGAGGAAGCGGTAACTAGTTCTTAAGGGATTCTAGAAGTTTAGACATTTTAATCCTAAAAATGCAGCTTGAGTTCATCCCAGTATGTGTTGCACAATAAAACAGATGTGGACCCTGCCTGTTGACCCTCATAGGGCTTACAGGCAGTAGATGAAACAGTGGATTAGAACTTAATGGTTATTTGATCCTAGTCACTATAAGAATTACTATAACAAAAGGCAGTTATAATGGTTGCACTTGATGGGGAGGAAGAAAAGCAAGGAATCAAGGATGACTTGGATTCTTGGCTTCAAATCATGAAAAAAGGAAAAATTAGTTTGGCAGAGGAGGAGTGTGCAGGGGCAAGGGTTTGTGCCTGTGCAGAGGCCTTAGATGCTGTTCTTCAGGAGCTGTTCATCTCATTTTTTTTGAGACAAGATCTCTCACTGGGACCTAGGGCTTGCTGATTAGGTTAGGCTTGTTGGGCAGCAAGCTCCAAGGATCTACCTTCCCAGCACTGGTATAATAAGCATGTGCCATCATGCCTGGCTCTTTGCATGGGTGCTGGGCATCAAACCCAAGTTCTTATGTTTGTGTGGCAAGCACTTTATTGAATGGAATGAGCTGTTGCCCCAGTCCTATGAACTTGCTTTTTAACACACTGAGTTTCAGACTCTTTAGAAATACTCTCATTTTGTAAAAGAAAGAAGAGTGATGCTAATTTTATATACCTCTGAAATGATTCTTACAAGGGAAGGAGATTTTTTTAATTCTGTAGTTGTGTTTTGTTTTGCTCTTTAAATTTAAAAAAAAATTTTTTTTTTTTTTTGGTCTTTTTGAGAAAGGGGCTCCCTGTAGCCCCAGCTGTCCTGGAACTCACTATGTAGATCATGCTGGCCTTGAACTCACAAAGATCCACCTGCCTCTGCCTCCCAAGTACTGAGATTAACGGCTTGTGTCACTATGCCCAGCACTTCTTGAATTTTTTAAACATTGTGGTTCCCCCCCCGTCCCCCCCAGTTACTGCATGATGGTAAAAGCAGACTCCAAATGGTTACATTATACAAGCTGTGAGATTTTAAACTTGTGACAAGGGACAGAAGGGAAATTCTACTCATTGCAAGGAAATCCTCACTTAAGGTTCAGGTTCAGAGAGCTATAAGCACTTAAAACCCATGAGCCTTCAGCTAATTGTCCTTAGCCAGTCCTGTCTCTGTCAGGAACTCACTTATGTTCTTGAACTGGTTATCTCTAGCTGAATCACTTCTCCATAACATTACAGACAAATTTCTTCTTAAATGCATTCACAAGTTTCTTTTTATTGTAATCACCAGTGATCCCTTGAACAGTAGTGAGGGTCTTCTTGCCATTTTTCTGTTGAATTCTTCTATGGATATAACCCTCACTGCCAGCAGGAAGCAGGTCATTACCCTTACTTGCATCAGCAAAGGAGTTGAAAGAGTGGAGGTTCTGGATAGCAGACATGATATTATTCCTTTTCCTTGGTGGAAATGGCCTGTTGAAGGTGGCTTTGGGAGAAGGGGGTGTAGGGAAGTGAGGGGGCTCAAGTGCGAGACAGCTAAGTCCTCCACAACCTGGAGCCCATTGTGTTTTATTGAGAGGGGATCTCATGTAGCCCAAGATGACCTTGAACTTCTCATCCTCTTGCCTATACCTCCCAAGTGCTAGGAATACAGGCATGTGCCATTGTGTCTGGTTAATGTAGTGCTAGGGTTCCAACCTTAGACTTTCTGCATGCTAGGCAAGCATTCTACCAACTCAGCTACATCCCTAGCCCTTCTTAGCCACTTTTGGATTACTGTTTAATAATGTTATATTTACAGTGTTGTGAAACCAAGTTAAATTTTTTCATCTGACAGA